AACTACTCCCATCAGTTTAGTTAACTTACATTAAAGGTAGGGTAGGTAATTCACTTCAGAAACACTTTTTGTTATATTCCATGCATACTCTTAACATCCCGATAGCAATGAATATATTAAATGCTTTGACAATTAATACATAAAAAAATGTCATCTGTGGAAGCCGTGGCGCTGTAAAAAGCACGACCAATCATCTGAGCCGGCCCGGCTAAAATAACTGGATGGCCTACCTGCCTGTCAGCCTTCCATCTGTGCACAAACTTATCTCGTGCCCTCATTGGTCATGTGCACGTTCGTGTGTGTTGGAGGAGGGGCTCTGTAAGGAAGTCTGAAGGAAGGGGCAGATTTTTTTCGGCTTCGTACTTTCAAATTCTAGCGCACTCGAGCTGGTTTCTCCATTCTTACCTACCCTACCTTTAAGTACGAAGCTTTACATGTCTTTTGGGAAGAGTGAGAAACCTTCCGCAATTATCCCTATAGCTGTATGATTCAGTGCATCCAGAAGACGAAAACATCTGCTTTAAAGGCACAATGAGGACTAAATAGAAACCCCAATCTGTTTGAAGTTATGGTTTTAATGTTTATCCACTGCAAAATAATGTATATTTACTGCAACATAGGAGACCCTAAAACCTTCATCCCACAGCCCATTCAATGCCAGTTGGTGAATAAACAGTGTAAGCTGAATGAGCCTCAGTTTGAATGATTGTAAAAGTGCTCCGATAGTGATCAGCGTTTCGTGGAGAAACCAAAGTAGCTTTTAATTTGGGGGCCTGCCCTGGGCCGATAACCTGGGAACTGTTTGTACGCAGTGTGTTGGAGGTACAGCTACAACAACTTGATTCATTCATTTATTGCACTTCCTACGATAAATGCCTAGATGTCCTTTAGGATAACACCCGCATGACTCAATGTTGTGCTTTTATTGCAGAAAGACTTGCACACACACACTTTTCTTACCAGCAGGGGAAGTAAATGATGTTTGCCAATTTAAGGACTCAAATCTGCAGCGTTAATGAGCTGTAGGAGACACTTAGAGAAGGCTGCCGTATCTGCAGTGGTGACTCATAACTGTCTCACTCATCGAAGGAAGGCTTTTAATTTGCAAAAGGGTGTTTGAGGTCAGCTGAATAACAGACAGAGGTGGAATAAGTATTCAGTTCCTATACTGAAGTAAAAGTAGAAATACTCTGTTGTAAGTCTTGCTTTTAAAATGTCCTTACACGGTACTTAAGTAAATGTAATAAGTTATTGACCACCACTAACAATGGACGATCATATTCTAGATATGTTTGTTGTATATGATTCATATTTGACTTGGCTGTATCGTTTGTGTTATAATGTCACATCTGAAAAAGACCCTTGACTCTAAGGGTTGACTGACCTCAGTGACCTGTGTGACCTCTGAGGGTCGGGATGAGAGCATCTGGGCTGCATGTGTGTTTAATGGCGGGTGTCCTTTCTGCACGAACCTCATTCCTCACAGCCAGCATCACGGTTTAAGATGTACTGGAGTAATAATAACCTCAAGTCACGCTAGGTCAAGCTGTTTCTAAAAGTCAGTCTTGGTGATCCCCAAATCCAGTGATCAATGGAGTGAAGACTGAATGTTTGTGGACAGCAGCAAAAGATAACATGAAGTAAATGTGGTAATGGCTTTCATAGTGCAAGATAAAGAGTTGCAGCCTACAAATTACATTAATGCACACAATGTTGAAGGTTGAATATATCTGTTTTTTTTTACATTTTATTCCATTCTATTTCAATGTATATACATATACATTTATTTTACTATATTTTTTCTTATTTTTTTTTAATGTTATTATAGTGTTCTTAAAATAGTTCGCTGTCTGTGTTTTTTAATTTTTGTTTTGTTTTACTTTTATGTATGCACCACGACACCAAGTCAAATTCCTCGTACGTGTCAACCTACCTGGTAATAAACCCGTTTCTGATTCTGATCCTGATTCTGAAACAGTGAGGCTGAAAAAAAGGATCTTAAAGAGGACATATGCAAATGTTCTGGTTCATATTTGTATTTAGTGTCTCTTCTGGGACATGTCTCCATGCTTTAAAGTTCAAAAAGTTCTTTATTTTTCTCATACTGCCTGTGCTGCAGCACCTCTTTTCACCCTCTGTCTGAAACCAGAGCCCAGTCGACTCTGATTGGTTAGCTGGCCGGCTCTGTTGTAATTGGTCAACTTAGAGATGTCCCGCCCCTTAGCCTATCACGTACAATGTGTTGGAGCGTTGTTTGGGAACTTTGGAATTTTAGCCTTTGCAGACCATTGACTTGCACACAAAAAAACACACTACATATGGGAAACCTGGATAGCATAAAGGGGCCTCTTAAAATGTTCCAGGTGTTCATTAAAAACTCTGAAAATAATGTGTTAATTGGCAACAAAGCAGCTGACTGATTAAATTAAACTTTAAAAATACCTTAAATACAGATCGTTTCAATAGCTGCTGTTGTGCTAATATATGCTAACATCCTTAATGTTCTCAAAGACAGAGATTGTTGTCAGCGCACATGGTGATTGGATGCACTGAATAGATGGAAAACAGCATTTTTATAAAATACCTGTGCGTGCTAAAACAGAATTGTGTTCCACTTTCCCTGAAATAAATTGCGCACATGAGTAGGTTTCATAATTTCTTTAATGTCAAAGATTATAAAAATGCATTATACTCTTTTAAAAAACAAAAGATAACTGACTAAAGCACCTAACAAAATCTCTCTTGTTCAAGGTAGCAATTTAACCCATAATATAAATGCTGCCATCACACATTCATTTTGATAAGCGTTAATAATAATTACAAAAGTAGAAGTTTTATTCCATGAAATAAATTAATTCTCTTTAGGGAATCATTTTCCTTGAGTTTTGTCTAAACACATGAATCCACTTTATTTTTTCTTACATTTAATCTTTCAAAATAGTTTTTTTTTACACAAATACACGTCTATGGCACAATACATTTACTAGAAACTAATGGCTATAATCCTCAAGCACAAGAAAATACTAGAAATAAAAAGGCAAACGGTGCGTCACAGGTCCAATCAGCCTTAATCAAATACATACAAAATATGTACAAAAATATGTGAGTCAAAAATGCAATACACTACTCACTGAGGAAAATGTCAGGAGAAATTCTTTCAACACTTCAGAGGTAAAATATTTTGAGGTATGAGTGTTTGTATATTTATTGATATGATCTGGACTGAGATATGTAAACAACCATTTCTAACACAACCATACATATAGTATAATACTCCAGTTTAATCATAAAAAGTCATTTAAACCCTTCATATACAAAAAGGTACTGCTAAAGAAATAATTTGTACAGCATTAAAGGGGACCTATCATGCAAAAAGCACTTTTTGATGTCTTTTATACATAAATATGTGTCCCGGGTGTGTCAGGGAACTCACGCAGCGTCAGAAAATAAAACCCTCTCTCTTTTCCTCCGTACCCAAATCTCTAAAAACGGGGCTACAACGGAGCTGATCCAGATTTGCGTCCGATATGACGTAATATCGGAAATGTAGGCTGGCTTTACACCCACGGCCCTATCAGAAACGTTGCTATCAGAAACAATGCCCGACTGTTTTGGACGTAATATGGTCGTTGTTTACATTAGCATCGCTAACACTCAGAGCTAACCTGTACTGGAGAGCATGTGTGTGAAGAAGCAGGAAATAAAAAGGAACTCACCTTGTGGTATAACCGGCAAGAGAGAAAGCCTTTGAGCTCCATACTGTTTCAGAAATAATCCTTGATAATCCATGATATGGCGTTTCATCACGGCAGTATTTAGTTTAGACAGTAGCTGCCGGGTCCCGCATGAGCTCAGCCCCCTCCTTTTTTATTTGTATCAATTTATTTTTATTTTTAAAGCTTTATACCCAAAATCAGCACTTTTGAAACAGGAAGTGAAATAGAGGGATATGAGGCATGGCTAGAATGGGTGATCTGTTTGGTATTTTGAGCAAAACACTTCATAGACATATTTTTTATATATCTGAGACCTATGCTATTGCCTAAAAATAGCATGATAGGTCCACTTTAAACTGTGAGACAGTGTAGGCACAGATCATTGGCACACTTTCTTTGAAATGTGAGAGTAAGATGGCTTTCGTGCATACAAACTGGGAGGTGAAAAATGATTTATGAGTCAACTAAATGTGATCATCCGTTTCCATCATCAGCCTCTCCGCCTACTGCGTCATGCATTTTCAGGTGAAAATCCCCAAATACTTAGAAAATTGATTTCCAGTTCATCCAAATACAGTTTTGAAAAAAGTTGTTCTGAACTAAAACTGTGGTAGAAGTCTCTAATGTCACAGAGGTTCATGTAGGTTTCTCGTGAAGGCATCATGTCCCTAATCTACTGCTTCTCCCACTGCTTCATGCATTTTAAGTCGGGTGAAAATCTCAAAATTCTCAAAAATGTCCCTTTTTAAAGAATTTCCTTTTTTTCAGTTCATCCAAATTAAGTTTTGGATGAAGTTTTTATTAACTTAAGTGTGTTTAAATGGGCTGTATAAATACAATTTAGATTGAAGATATGATGATTATTATTATTATCTGTAATTTCCTTCTTCAATATATGTTTGATGCAACAAGAGAGAGAAAAAGCATGTCTCATATGCAGTATATACATTTCAACAGCGTATAGGCACACATTTTACTTTACAAGAAAAGCTATAATTGAAATTGAAACTGAAATAAATACCTTAATACACTATATGGATGATTATTGATTTCAGTCGTATACAGACAAGCTTTAAGGACATCTTAAGGCAAGGAGACATGGCTGGTTTTCAATTTGAGTGCAGAAGTTGTCTGTTCATAAACATTGAATCTATGCCGATCGGGACATATTAAGGGTGTGTTGAGTTTGTTTTATTACCTGCTTTATGGTTCTTAAGAGTCTATTCCCCTAAACATATCCTGTTCTCCATACATTTCCTCTGGGTCCTTTTAATTTGCTTTTTTAATATAGTAGATGCGTATCAATATGCAAATGATATATCGTTTTATCTTGCATCGAGTTGAATGAGCTCAATAGGTTTCCACTTGTGTGAGCATAAGGATAGTCTCAATTAGGAAATTCCTGTTATTTATTTATATTTTGCAGGTTTTATGGTCCACTAGAATATAATATCATGATCTCTTTTAAAGATCTGGGAGCAGTTTTTATATCACTCTTGACATTTTAAGCCCTGGACAAAAAAACAACAACTATTTAATGAGTTATATTGGACTGTGGGAATAATCGTTGATAATGTTACCTCATTGAAGATGCCGGACCGACACTACTTTAATTGGGTACTTTCACTGCGTGTTGGCAAATAAAAAACTTCTACCACCAACAGAACAGTGTGCGGTCAAACTAAACGTATAAGTGCATTTAAGTGAGTTGGTAAATCTCTATTTAAATTTTAAGTCCAACCAAATGACTAAGGCTTTTCTTGTTCGGCATTTTAACGCTGTCTTTTGTATATGTAATATATGGTATTGTACATATTTATATAAAAAATAAACCAGCAGAAATAAACAAATATGTGTTTCCAGTTATGAAAGGCTAGTTTGCTAATGCTGGCAGATTTTAAAATAACTTTTTGTTAGGATGGAAAAGGATGGCGGGTGGTCCATTTACAGTTTCCAGCCTCTGAATGAAGGTGAACAGCAACTGAGAAAACCTGTGAGGGGGAATAGAAAATGTTCAGAGATGAAAAACAGTCAAATTGTTTTAAAGGTCACCTATTATGCAAAATCCACTTTTTCATGTCTTTTCTACATCAACATGTGTCCCCTCTGTGTAAAGAGACTCTGAAAGTTTCAGGAAAAAAGATTCTCTCTCTTTTTGTCCTGATCCATTTACACAGGCTGCTGCACCCCCGCTGTCTCACGGAGAGATACCGCAAGTCCTTCCTTCCTGCAGCCGTCAGACTATACAACCAGCACAGCCCCTAGTAGAACCCCCCCCCCCCCCCACACACACACACCACAACACAGACTATAACACCCCTTGCTGTTAAATACCAACCAACTATGTGCTATATGTGTAATATATATATATGCCGTTAAAACTGTGCTATATATACCTGGCTGCTAAATCCTAAGAACTGTTACAGGATGTGCATTTTGAAAATTATGTAACCTTTTTTTTGTTTTTATTATATATATATATATATATATATTGTTTTATTATATCATAACTTAGTACTTTTTAATGCATGTAACATATGTAACATATGTAACATTAAGCTGTCTGTGGCTCTTTTTTCTGCTCTAACTACGTACATTTCCCCTCTGTGGGACTAATAAAGGTATTCTGATTCTGATTCTGATAAAAACCTGTCTGAAAATGAGCTGATCAGATTTTGGCCACTTTATGATGTCATAACGATTTTTTGGCTTGTGTAACCATTAGCCAATCACCAACCAAGGTAAACCCCCCCCCCCCCCCCCACACCTTATCACCTGAATCTCCTCCTAGAGCACCATTGAGTTCTTTTTAACCAAATATCTCTCAGAGGGGCGTGGGGAGGGGCTCCTTATTTCCATCTAAAGTAACAGACAGAGAATCAGCTCTTTTGAAACAGGGCTGAAACAGAGGGGATTATGGGATGCTGCAATGATCTGTTTGGTGTTTCAGCCAAACACTTCAGAGACATGTTTTGTATATATCTGAGACCTATAATATAATATAAAAACAGTATAATAGGGGACCTTTAAATAATTAACTTCCTGCCAGGCGTTTATGTCAGTCTCACCTTTTTGTCCCCCACCATGGCTCCTACCCTGACACCCAGCTGTGTGTGGTGGTCTTCACCCTTTGGGGGAACCCAGCTGAGGGGTCAAAGTTAAAGTCGAGGGCCCCGCCATCCATCAGGGTGTCATGGAGCACCGTCTCCATGTCACATTCAAGCCTCTCAATGGACACGTTGTCCAGGTCGCTGGGCAGCCGCTCCTGGTGATGAAGGTGAGGGTGAACCGAGCCGAGCGCCCTGTAGCCGCTGGTGCTGCCGTAGCCCGTGGAAACAGAGTAAGTGTGTGTGGGGTGTGTGTGAGGCAGCTGCATGAATGTCCTCAGGCTGTTCATTCGATGAGGGGGCCCTGAAGGACTAGTCAGACTAGTCAGGGGGATCATGTTACAGCTATTCAAATCGTGTGAGCTTGGAGGACCCTGTCTATGTATAGCTTGTGGATTTACGTGAGGGTGACTCTGAGGAGGATTCATCATTTTCGCCCCGTTGTGACCCCCCATGTGGCTCTGGCGGCTGTAAGGAGGCAGTTGGCAACCTCCCCTCCCCACCTCCCTATTGGCTTCTGCTTCTGAGGTCAGCAGCTCTTTGAGGAGGCCAGCAGGGCAGATGTACTGGTTCTCATAAGCCCCAAAGCCTGGCTTGGTCTGTGGGAGCGTCTGCATGGGGGCGGGGGGCAGGTTGCTCATCCTGACCTGGCTGTACATGCATTTACGGTAGTCTTTCTGTGGGAGCGGGGTCAAGCCGGGGGAGCTGTAGGGGCCGCTCTGAAGCATGGCAGCATTTGATGAATGTGTGGAGTCAGAAACCAGCTGTGGGGTTTTAGGGGGCAGCAGGTTCAGGTTATCCAGCAGACCCTCCATGACCATCTCTGAGCCGTGTATGGACCCGGCCACCTCGGACAGGCTGGGCAGAGAGGAGGTGATCTTGGTTCCCGACGCTCCGGGGTACATCATGTGGCCCTCGGACTCCCCCAGGTCGTCCGGGTCAGGAGGGAAAGGCGAGTGGCAGCCGCTCAGGGTGCTGGCGTCAGAGCTGGTGCGCGTCCTGAAGGAGCTCCAGGCTTCAAAGTCCTCGTTGCTGTGAGAGTTTGGGCTCCCCAGCCAGTTGGAGTACTGGGAACCAGGGCTGCCGTCCCCCCCCTCAACCCCCTCCTGTAGAGCCATCTAAAGATAGGAAAACATGAACCAGGCTACCATATAATTATTGCTTTACGGTAATTTTAGGTACATTCATTATGTTTTAGTGCCATTTTAAACACATTTTTATGATTAAATCGATTATATCTTGAATTGTGATTACTTTCCACAGGATAATAGTGACTTAGAGCTCATTTTCTAAGAGAGCACATGACTGTATTTTCAAAAAAGTCAAACTATTCTATTAACACAGATTTACCAGAGCTGTGAGAAAAACACATGGCAGTATGTTTTAGTGCCATTTTAAACATATTTGTATTATTATAAGGATTATATCTTGGATTGTGATTACTTTGCTCAGGATAATCGTGACTTAGAGCACATTTTCTAAGAGAGCAGATGACTGTATTTTCAAAGAATCTAACTTCTATTAACAGAGATTAAGCAGAGCTGTGAGAAAAATACACACATACAGAACACACTGATTGTATGAGTGAGTATAGTGTTAATAAAAAGGGGGACTGTACCTTTTTCTTTGTGGCCCTTCCTCGGCTCTTGGCAAACTTACTGTTGTTGTCCATGGAGGTGGCTCTGCGGCGCGGCGACTTCCCGCTCTTACCCCCCTCGGGGTTCAGCATCCACCAGGAGCTTTTGCCCGTCCCCTCGTTCTGTATGCGCACAAAGCGGCTGTGCAGCGACAGGTTGTGTCTGATGGAGTTCTGCGTGGAGAAAAGATTTGAACATTTGTAAACAGAGGAAAGGCGGGAAGACTTAGAATTACTAGTTAGGTTTAAACAAAACAAATTAATCAGTAAGCTAATCTGAGTGTCACAATATTAAGGTAATGTATCCTCATTAGTTTCTGTTGATTTCTGATTCTTTAGATATAAAATGCATTCTAAATAAAAACAAGAGAAAGAAAATAAGATGTTTTTCCCATAGGTGACAACAGAACAAAATCACCTGAGAAAATAAGATATTTTCGGATAAGAAATGTGTCCTCTGCTCATAGATTTTATTTAAAGGAAAACCTTTAATTCAGCATATTCAGGCAGTAGCCTACACACCAACAATGACACACATGAGCACATACTACAGTTCAAAAAAGCAGAAATAAAATCTGAGCTCACAGAAAATGCTCCATTTTAGTTTAATACACACAGTTAAGCTCACACACACTATTTTATGAGCATATAGGTTCACCTGCTGAATAAAAAAAAGAACAAATGAACCAAAGAAAGTGAAAACCATGAAGCAGATTCAGGCAGTAGGCGTATAGATTCACTCTTAAGTATTAGCTTACAGAACAGTACAGCTAACAGAGAAGATATAACATCTGCTTCTTTTAAAACAAATACAACATGCTGTTTTTTAGCTTTTTAGTAACATTGTAATCCTGCTAGTAATTTGTTGGTATACTGATTGAATCCATTACATGTAATCTGTTACTCCCCAAGCCTGGTTGCAAGCTCTCTTTGGACTTTGAGGAAGCTACAATGTGGAGTCTAAACAACAGGATTTCTTTCCAAATGTTATTTTATTATGATAGGCCAAATCTTATGATAAACAACACTGACCCTCTGGTGAGGTGGCACAAGTTATCCCTAATCGCTTCTTACAGGGAATGAGATGAGAAGGTGAATTGCTGCAGAGGAACTATTTGCCATTTCTCATACCGAGTGGAGAAGGAGCTGTTGAGGATGAGTGTGACGTCAAAGCCAGCAGATGAACAGGAAGTATGCATATGTCCATATCCTCCGTCAACAATATTATGTCGACTGAGCCTTTTCCACTCCACACTCTCCAGCAACATTTATAAGTTACTTTGGCTTGAGGAAGCAAGAAAGGGATGTCATGTCATTAATTGTACACTATATAAATATACGGACCATGTCAGAACAGCCAGTGCTTGCTTAAAAAAAGTCCTACATTAGAGTTTGTTAGGGTGGTCATCCTTCTCCCTCCTCACTGTAAACCATAATCATATGTTTCCTGTGATTTACACAATGTTTGATCAGCACATGCTTTTCCCACTCTTCCACCAACAGCAGTTTTTTTGCATTGCTTTGGGGTTTACCCAACTTGCTCCCTTTTTTTTTTTAAAGTGTGGTCACATTTGTCCTTATGCTAACATGTATACACCTAAAGCCTCACTCAGTCCTCTCTCCCTAATGCTATGTTATGAACTCTAAAAAGAACGCAGAGGCGCCTCCTGCGGTAACTCTCTCAGGAAGAAAAACAGCGATGGTTAAGGAACACAGACATGGCCACACAGGACACAGATGCACTATAGACTGCTCTCAATGGACATTAAATGTTGGTCTTGGGTTGGGAGCATTCAGTGCATATCCGAAGATTGAGAAATAAATAAATGTCTAATCATTTTGTTCAAAGTTATAACTATGTCTGCTCCATAGCTTCTCTGAATAACTACTGTCCCACTGGACATTTTACATTCATATTCTATTTAATATTGAATAATCCATTCTTGCACAATAATATCCTGCATTATATTTGTTACTGGAAATTTGTATTTCCACATGTATATGTGTTTAATCTTTTAACTTTTTAATGCTATTTTATTTCTATTTCTGAAATATATTGGACTGTTTATTTCTGTGTCTTAGTTTCTCTTATGTACATTGCCTTGTGTTTTTTTATGCTGCTGCAACGCAAACAATTCTCAATGAAGTACCTATCTATCTATCTATCAATCCATCAATCCATCAATCTATCTATCTATCTATCTATCTATCTATCAATCTATCTCTATCTATATCTCTATCTATCTATCTATCCATCTATCTAGAACCTGAATGACACTTCAAATAATTGTAGGAATAGAACATACTAAGGATATTGTGCGCATTGTTTTGGATGACTGTCCCCATACAAAGGCACTGAACCATGGCAAGCTTCAGCTCAAACTATACATCCACAGTGGCTTTGTGGAGGCAGCGAGCTGCGCATGAATGAGAAATGTTTTACTGAAAAAGAAGACGGGGGGGGAGGTTACAGAGTTCGAGGCGAGGATGGGGAGGGACGTCAGAGTGAGATGTTTTTGCCGGCAGAGCTGAGGTCAATGGGTTCACTCTTCACTGTGTGCTGAACACGAGCTCCCCAGCCTGCGCTCACAAAGACATGCAAACAGGTTGAATGGAGCTCAGTGGATAGTGCGCTGAACTTCGAATCAGGGGGTAGCAAGTTCGAGTCCCACTGCAGTCAGCATGTCGTTGTGTCCCTGGGCAATACACTTCACCCCAAATTGCTCCTGTGGGGATTGCCCAGAGTACTGAATGTATGTAAGTCGCTTTGGATAAAAGCGTCTAACAAGTGAAATGTAATGGAGCAGGAGCAGAGAGAGGAGAAGATTCACAGACATGCTGCTGGCTGTACTTTCTGACTCACCACAACAAACCCCCCCCACCCGGTCTCCTCCCTTCTCTTCCACTGACTTTTAAATAAGGCTTCCTGTGTCGGAGGACATCCTGCACATGCTGAAGAGACGTGAAGGGGAGTTAACGCTCACTCCATGTCCTCACAATGCAATACAAATCTGACTCAGGTTAAGGATAGGACAGAAAGTAGATGATTTTATCGTGGAACGTGATGGAAAAAACTCCCAATTGGTTGAATTTGGTCATTTCTATTTGCAGAATAACTGTGAATATCCTCATATAAGCTGTCTATTATGGTAGACATGTAAAAAATACTGTGTTTTAAACATACAGAAGTAAAGTCATGTATGATTATGTATGTATTAAGAACAGATTCCCTCAATGTTAGTTTATTTTACTTTGTGGATCCATCAGTTATGCGGCCGGGGGCTTACTATTCGTGATTAGTTTAAAAAGGGAAAGGGAAAATCTTTAATTTTGTCTGATTGTTTTTTACTGAAGACGATAAAAAAGGTGTCTGTGTTTCAATAAATATAATTGTTACTCCACAAAATGCAAGATTAAATAAATCCACTGTGCATTATTTGAATTGCAAGATGATTGTCTTCTCATTTTCTGTCTTTGTGCAAAACAATAAGAGAGCAAATATTTTCTGAAATGTCAAACTGTTCCTTTAACATAGTTGTGATTTGACGTGATTTTATCATGACTTCTTCTCCCTTTTACTTGATCTCAATCTGTAACCAGAAGACAGGAAATGAGTCATAAGCAGAGGACGAGAGATCTGAGCGATGTGTTGCACAGCTTCAGTCTGTGAACTAACTTCACTAAAACCAAGACGACATGTCCCGCTCGCAGACAGCTGAGATCACTAGTGATATGCAAATGCTGACTGCCCACAATAGATCATGGGCTGCATGACTGGGCCCTGGGAAGAGGAATTTCTCTACTCTGCCGGGGATAATCCTTGTCTGAGACAGACCTCACCTCAGCCCAAAGAGAACAAAAGACATCCCCTGCCTCACTAATTCAGGAGGTGCCCCATTCACACATCATGCCCCTGAAAGCCTGACCCAAGGTGGCCTATATGCTGCATCGTTGTTAAACTTTTTTATAAAACAATTGTCACGGTCCTCATGTTTTAACCGGCTTTGAAGTTAAATATATGCACCTGTAGCTGCATATGAATGTGGGGCATTAAGAAGTCTGTGTGCTCCTCATTGACCTTTCACGGCTACTAGGGGAGTTCCCAGGCACAGATTACAGACTGCAAGTGACGTAAAGGATCTATTAAGTACGTTGAGCAGTGATCAAACACAAGCTTGTAGAAGAAATATCTCATTAGAAAATATTTTAATATGATGCTGTTTGCGTCTTGCTTTGTGTTTGTGGGTAGTCATGTCAATTGACTTTTGTGTGCTTAAAATGTAAGCTTTGTAGCTACCGAACATCTTTTTCCATTCTTGATATTGCCTTTAATAATTCTAATATGCTAAGAATTCATCTATTAGCTTATATGTCTCTGTGAAAGAATTAAACTGACACAAACTGTCTCTACACTGAAGAATGAGAGTTTTAACATCGCTCTGTTTCTAGGTCAGTGGGTGCAAGGATGCCTGACATGGGAAAGGTCTTATTGCTTCTGACTAAATCTATTTACAGTTTGCCCTCAGGAATGCAACATGTTGAACAATGTAAATCTTCAGCAGAAAGCAGTTGTCTCTTTGCAGTCCAAGTCTAACTGCTCTATGGTAGATTTTTTGCGAATTATCCAACAGTTTACAACTCTTCAAATGCACTCAATGATCTCAAAATCATCTGTGTTCAATATTTGTATGTGACAAACTGCTGCTGCATGAAGCGACTCCTCCTACTGGACTTCAAAACAATCAACACAGCTGCTGTTTCTTGTGTAGTGAAGCATGAGGTCGCAGTAACCGTCACAGGGTGAGTAAACAAACAAGGCCCAGTTGCAGGGACAGGTGCAGCCACACAGTGAAAGTGGCCTCACGTGCAACTGATCCAAACGTTTTACATATAGATCCAGAAGCAACCACAGACTGGAGAGAGGATCCCCACAGGAGAACCACTGGGGAGACCATCTGCTACTCATATCTGTAACTCCGCTTTAAATCAATGAGGCGTGATACTTAGCGAGTGACGAAAATAATGGAGGGAAAAAGAGAGTCACTTTAAATATGCAGACATGTCTTGGTCTATAAGTTTAGCAATAAAACCATGTAAAACTCAGAGGTTAAGCTGCCGCCAAAACGATCCACGGTCTCGTATTACAAGTAGCATAATGTTAGCAGACTCGTATG